TTAAACAAATATTAAATGTAAATTAAATATGAAAAACCATAATTTTGTACTTAAATATAGTTGAACGTCGATATAACATGAGATACGTTCCAAGAGAGGTCGCTTTAAACCAAATTCTCACTAAATCAAAGTGTTGTTTCAATGGAATAATTTAGTTTGGTACTTGAGAGAAACACAAAATACTAAAAAAGACTGAGAGTCTACCCAGATGCACCTCAGCCCATCTCCTAGAATAAACCAAACATTGTTTTTTGTAATACAGTATTAAATTAAAACAAACTCATAGATCAACACAACTAAAATTATGGGACATGAAATGGTCTGTTTACTAGCAATCAGCTGATGGGAAGATGGGGGAGGGGGGCAGAGGTGAGGTGATATGTCTGACAGTTGCTGCCAAGGTCTAGTGCTTATTTATTTATCTGTCCTTAAGAATGACTAAGTTTTTCTCTTATAAATTGTCACTGAACTGACATGGGAGAATATAATTTACATTGCTGGAATTCTTATAAGATAGTGAATTAGTTTGAATATATATATGCTATAGTTCACATTAGACATACAAATTTTAGTTCTAATTAATTTTATTACAAAGGCCTAAAATTTGTATCTCTTGTGCAAAATATGTGCCGTTTATATTCAAATTATTCGCTGTCTTGCAAGGATTCTAGCAATGCAAATTTTATTCTCCTATTAGTCTGTGATATTATATAAGATAAAAACTGTAAGCCTATAACCACCCAACCCTGGCTGGGAGGGGGGGGGAGGAAGGGGAGGTGACATGTTTGACAGTTGGCGCCGAAGGTCTAGTAAAGTATTTACTGTATTTGTTTATGTCTGAAGTGACCGGGGAGAATATAATTTATATTGCTGGAATTTTTATAAGATAGTGATTAATTTGAATATAATCATGCTATAGTTTGCACTAGACAAAAATTTTAGTAATCATTTAGTGCATTATTTTGAGTACAGTACATGTACAGTACAGCTTTGCCCTTAGGACAGTGTAGCGTGCCCAGAGAAACATTAGGTGTGAATTTTAAAATATGATGCACCAGATTGACTCGTGCAAAATAGGAAAGAAGGAAAGATTCGCTTTAAATTTAAACATTGTCCTCAATTGTGGGTGTCGCTTTAAATAAATAATCTTAAATTGAATCGCTTTAAATCGACGTTCTACTGTGTACTAGACTAGACTAAAACTTTTATCTCTTGTGCAAACTATGTAATGTTTATACTAAAATTAATCACCATCTTACAAAGATTTCAGCAATGCAATTTATATTCTGCTAAGTCTAGAGCTACATTTGATAAGTTAAAAATTAAACCCCTTGCCTTTTATAATCCTTGAGTAAGCTTTAATCTCTTCTCCTGGCCATCGACACCCCACCTCCCCTCCTCCTCCCAGCCAGCAGTGGGGGAGCAGAGGGTAATGATTTGTGGGATGAATTTTGTTTTAGGCTTAAATTTTTATCTTATAAAATGTCTCAGACTTGACTTAAGAGAATATAACTTCATTGCAGGAGTCCTTGCAAGATATCGATTAATTTAAGTATAAACTTCTAATAATTTGCACAAGAGATAAAGCTTTTAGTCCTTAGCTTAGTACATTTAGTACAAAATGAGTACATTGATATGCTGCTCAGAATTATGGTTTTATCACAGGGAAAACTGGTCAGGCTATTATGGTATCGAATGTTACTGAGTATTTCAAAGAAATTCTTCTACCAGTACCCTTCACATACAGTAAAATACTTATTTTTACCTTCTAATTCAGCTTGTCATTTAAGGATATCATATTGGAAATGTCTCATAGAGGATCATTATGGTATCTAATCTCTTTAAAACAAATACAGTAAAGATTATAACATTTGTTGTGAAGTAGGAAGAGGGAGAAGGGACCATTGGGGGGTAAAAGTGACCGCGCCACCCCCCTCCCCCAAAGGGTCGCCTCACTGTCTACTGTGTTGTTTATTTGATTCATTAATTAGTTAAGATACGTTACTGTAATAATGTGTGTTTATTAAACCTGTACCCTTCATATACAATACAGTGTAGTACTATGTATATACGGTACCTCATAGGTAAAAAATGTCATTCAAGACATCTTCAGGTCATAAGACCCACTAATACCCCACCCAACAATGGGTGACCTGACGTTACATCAGGTCAGGTTAGTAACGTGACCCAATAATCTCACACCCAACCTCCATCACAAGTGTTAAGACATGATTAGTTATGTACTACAGTCAATTGAATGAAATGTCTGCCTATTCTAGGCTAAAATGACAGAATCTGCTGGAGTACAATATATACAGTACACAATAACACTTGCCAACAGTGTGTAACAGAGACGTGACTGATCCAACACCACCCACACACACCCTCCAATACCACCCACACACACCCTCCAACACAACCCACACACACCCTCCAAAACAACCCACATACACCCTCCAACACAATCCACACACACCCTCCAATACCACCCACACACACCCTCCAATACCACCCACACACACCCTCCAACACAACCCACACACACCCTCCAAAACAACCCACATACACCCTCCAACACAATCCACACACCTTCCCAGCCACCACCCACACACACCCTCAATACCACCCACACACCCTCCAACACAACCCACACACACCCTCCAAAACAACCCCACCTTACCCTCAACACAATCCACACACACACACCCTCCCAATACCACCCCACACACCCTCCAATACCACCCACACACCCTCCAACACCACCCACACACACCCTCCAACACCACCCACACCCCTCAAAACAACCCCACCCTCCAACACAACCCACACACACCCTCCAACACCACCCACACACACCCTCCAACACCACCCACACACACCCTCCAATAACCACACACACACCTTCCGGGGTTAAGAAGGTACCTAGGTGAGGTCACCTGGGAACAGTCAGGTCAGTCCCTGGTAGGAACAGGTGAGGTCACATGTGACACCACAATTGATCATGACTACAGTATAATATATTCACTCGTATACTACGTAAAGCACATGAACAAAATATACCATACAGAAAAATTAGGTCAAATAAGAATGAACCGAGGTGGGTTACCAGAAAACTTAAACATGACACAGGAATAAAGAAAGGAATTTATAAGAAATTAAAGGGAGGGGAGGAGCAGCTCAGAAATGGGTATAATGAACTATCTAGGAATGTTAAGAAAAATGTAAGGAAGGCAAAGAGAGACTACGAAATCAGGATAGGAAGAAAATCCAAGGCGAATCCCAAGGGATTTTTCCAGGTATATAGGACAAAGGTCAAGGACAAAGTTGGGCCTTTACAGTCAAGGAGAGGGGAAGTGATCGATGTCAGTGAGGAAATAAGCAAAGCATTGAACAGCTACTTTTTATCAGTTTTCATAGAAGAAATTCAAGAGGAAATTCCAGAGGTGGAACTGATATTTAGGGGAAATGAAGAAGAGAAATTAAAGAATATCACTATCAGAAAAGAGGATGTTCTTAAGAGGATAAATAAATTAAAGAAGACAAAATCCCCAGGGCTGGATGAAATTTTCCCTCGAGTCTTGAAAGAGTGTAGGGAACAGATTAGCGGACCCCTCGCAAATTTGTTTACAAAATCATTAGACAATGGAGTTGTGCCAGACTTGTGGAAAAGGGCAAATGTAGTACCCATATTCAAAAAAGGAGACAGAGCATCAGCGTCAAATTACTGGCCGATCAGTTTAACATCAGTAGTGGGGAAATTTCTTGAATCAATTACAGTATAGCAAATAGCATCCGATTGCATTTAGAGAAAAGCTAATTAATCTACGACTCTCAACATGGGTTTTTAGGAAAGTCTTCGAGGTAGTAGATAACGACGAAAATTACGATGTTATTTACTTAGACTTTAGCAAAGCATTTAACAGAGTACCGCATCAGAGGCTTCTGAGAAAAGTTAAGGCTCATGGTATAGAGGGGAAAGTTTTAAATTGGATAAAATCATGGCTCACTGATAGAACACAGAGGGTCAGAGTAGATGGTGTTAAATCTGAGTGGGGCTGTGTAACCAGAGGGGTTCCCCAAGGGTCAGTACTAGGCCCACTCTTGTTCATAATCTACATAAACAATCTAGATACTGGGATCAGCAGTGACATAAGCAAGTTTGCGGATGACACCAAAATAGGGCGGCAGATTAATTCGGGGAGGATGCAAATGCACTACAGGAGGATATAAATAAACTGCAGGAGTGGTCAGAAAAATGGCAAATGAAATTCAACACCAGCAAGTGCAGCGTACTTAATATTGGAAGAACAAATACTGTCAATGTATACAGCCTTAACAACATCAACCTAGAGAAGTCGACTTGTGATAGAGACTTAGGGGTACTTGTAAGCCCGAACCTACGGCCTAGAAAACAGTGCGTTAATGTTCGAAACAAGGCAAACAGAGTATTAGGTTTTACATCTAGAAGTGTAAGTAATAAAAGTGCAGAGGTCTTTTTGCAACTGTATCTTGCGCTAGTCAGGCCGCACCTCGATTATGCGGTTCAGTTCTGGTGCCCTTATTATAGAATGGATATCAATTCACTGGAGTCGGTGCAGCGAAGAATGCCGAAAATGATTCCGGGACTTAAAACCTTCCATATCAAGATAGGTTAAAGAAACTAAACTTGCATTCCCTAGAAAGACGATGAGTGCGGGGAGATATGATAGAAGTATTTAAGTGGGTGAAAGGAATCAATAAAGGGGATAAAGATAAAGTTCTTATAATATCCGAGCAGGATAGGACTCGGAGCAACGGATTCAAGTTGGATAAGTTTAGGTTCAGGAGGGAGATAGGTAGGAACTGGTTCACAAATAGGGTTTTGGACAAGTGGAACAAGCTTAGCAACTTTGTAGTAAGTGCTGGAATGCTGGAAAGTTTTAAAAGGAGGCTAGATAGATTCATGGATGATAGTGAGTGGTAGGAGCTGCCATGCACAAGCCAACCGGCCTATTGCTGACACATTATTTTCTTATGTTCTTATGTTCAATACCACCCACCCACACCCTCCAACACCACCCACACACACCCTCCAACACCACCCACACACCCTCCAATACCACCCACACACACCCTCCAACATCCACCCACACACACCCTCCAACACCACCCACACCTCAATACCACCCACACACACACACCCTCCAACACCACCCACACACCCTCAATACCACCCACACACACCCTCAACACCACCCACACACCCTCAACACCCCACACACCCTCAACACCACCCACACACCTCCAACACCAACCTCAGCCACACACACACCCTCCAACAACCACCCACACACACCCTCAACACCACCCACACACACACCCTCCAACACCACCCACACACACACCCTCAATAACCACCCCCCACCCACACACCCTCCAACACCACCCACACACACACACATACACCTCATCACCCGCCACACACACCTCCAATACCACCCACACACACACCCTCAATAACCACCCCTCCCACACACACCCCTAACATCACCCCCCCCACCACACACACCCTCAACACCATCCACACACCCCAACATCACCCCACACCCACACACACCCTCCAACACCACCCACACCCTCCAACACCACCCACACACCTCCCAATAACCACCCCCTCCACACACCCTAACATCACCCCTCACCCACACACACACCCTCCAACACCACCCACACACACCCTCAACACCACCACACACACACACACAACACCCCCAACATCACCACGCCACCACACACACCCTCAATACCACCCACACACACACCCTCACATAACCCCCCCTCCACACACCCTAACATCACCCCCCCCACCCACACACACCCTCCAACACCATCCACACACACCCCAACATCACCCCACACCCACACACACCCTCCAATACCACCCACACACACACCTCCAATAACCACCCCACACACACCTCCCAACACAACCCACACACACACACACACCCCAACATCACCCCCACCCACAAACACCCTCCAATACCACCCATACACACCCTCCAACACCACCCACACACACCCTCCAACACCACCCACACACACCCTCAATACTACCCACACACACACCCTCCAATAACCACACACATACACCCTCCCAACACAACCCACACACACACACACCTCCAACACACCCATACACACCCTCCAACACCACCCACATACACCCTCAACACCACCCACACACCCCTCAATACCACCCATACACACCCTCAACACCACCCACACACACACCCTCCAAACGCAACCCACACACACACACACACACACCCCAACATTACCCACCCACACACACCCCTCCAATACCACACACACCCTCCCAGCCACCACCCATACACACCCTCCAATACCACCCCACACACACCCTCCCAACACCACCCACACACACCCTCAACACCACCCACACACCCTCCAATACCACCCATACACCCTCCAACACCACCCACACACCCTCAACACCACCCACACACCCCTCAACAACCACACACACACACCCCAACATCACCCCCCACCCACACACACCCTCAATACCACCCACACACACCCTCAATACAACCCATGCACACCCTCCCAACCACCCACACACCCACCAACACCATCCACACACACCCTACAACACCACCCACACACACCCCTCCAACACAACCCACACACACACACCCCAACATCACCCCCCCACCCCACACACACCCTCAACAACCACCCACACACACCTCCAATACTACCCACACACCCTCAACACCACCCACACACAACCTCCAACACCACCCACACACACCCTCAACACCAACCACACACACCCTCAACACAACCCATACACACCCTCAACACCACCCAGGCACACCCTCAACACCACCCAAACACACCCTCCACTACTACCCCACACACACCCTCCAACACCACCCACACACAACCTCAACACCACCCACACACCCCCTCAACATCACCCACACCCCCCTCCAATAACCACACACACACACACCCTCAATACTACCCACACACACACCCTCCAACACCACCCGCACACCCACCCTCAACACCACCCACACACACACCCTCCAACACCACCCACACACACCCTCAATAACCACCCACACACACCTCAATACTACCCCACACACACCCTCCAACACCACCACACACACCTCCAATAACCACACACACCCCCTCCAACCAACCCACACACACACACACACACCCCAACATTCCCCTACCCACACACCCTCCAATACCACCCATACACACCCTCAACACCACCCACACACACCCTCAACACCACCCACACACACACCCTCAATAACCACACACATACACCCTCCAACACAGCCACACACACACACACACCCCAACATACCCCCCCTACCCACACACACCCTCAATAACCACACACATATACCCTCCACAACCCACACACACACACACACACACCCCAACATTACCCCCTACCCACACACACCCTTCAACACCACCCACACACACCCTCAATACCACCATACACACCCTCAACACCACACACACACCCTCCAACGCAACCCACACACACACACACCCCAACATTCCCCCCACCCACACACACCCTCCAATTACCACACACACCCCTCAATACCACCCATACACACCCTCAACACCACCCACACACACCCTCCAACACCACCCATACACACCCTCCAACACCACCCACACACAACACCACCCACACACACCCTCAATACCACCCATACACAGCCTCCAACACCACCCCACACACCCTCCAACACAACCCCACACACACACACACCAACCCCCACCCACACACCCTCAATACCACCCATACACACCCTCAATACCACCCATGCACCTCCAACAACCACCCACACACACCCTCCCACTACCCACACACACACCCTCAACACCATCACACACCCTACAGCACCACCCACACACACCCCAACATCACCCCCCCACCCACACACCCCAACATCACCCCCCACCCACACACCCTCAACAACCACCCACACACCCTCCAACACCACCCACACACACAACCTCAACACCACCCACACACACCCTCAACACCACCCACACACCCTCCAACACAACCCATACACCCTCCAAACACCAAGGCACACCCTCAACACCACCCACACACACCCTCCAATACACCCACACACACCCTCCAACACCACCCACACACAACCTCCAACACCACCCACACACACCCTCAACACCACACACACACACACCCTCCAACACCACCACACACACCCTCAATAACCACACACACACACCCTCAACACAACCCACACACACCCTCCAACACCACCCACACACACCCTCCAATAACCACACACACACACCAACATCACCCCCCCCACACACACCCCAACATCACCCCCCACCCACACACACACCCTCAATACCACCCCACACACCCTCCAATACCACCCATACACACCCTCCAACAACCACCCACACACACCCTCAATACTACCCACACACACACACACCCCAACATCACCCCCACCCCACACACACCCTCAATACCACCCCACACACACCCTCCAATACCACCCACACACACCCTCAATACCACCCATACACACCCTCAACAACCACCCACACACCCCCTCAATACTACCCACACAGACCTCCAACAACCACACACACACACACCCCAACATCACCCCCCCCCCACACACATCTACGTGTGTGTGACTGCATGGTAGGGAGTTAAATATCAGCTCTTGAGGAGCGCTTGGCAACACTCATTTCCACTCCATCTCTCTAATCACCCACACCTTTCTGCTTTGTCACTCCATATTTTAATATGTTATGTAACGTAATGTTGAAGGGATACAACTTTGCTCCTTTATACTTATACTTATCACAATCTTGCTAAAAATACTTTGGGTTTGTGTTTATTCAAGACATCTTCAGGTCATGAGATCCCACTAATCCCCCACCCAAGATAGGTTTTTTTATTTTTATTTTTATATTGGGCAATCCCCTACATCCTTGTGTAAGGTGAAGAGCAGAAGCGTTTACAGCGCCCAACAGGAAGCATGCTAAGTTCATGCTTGTCTTTATGTCTCATGAGTTAAAAGTAGAAGCGTGAAGAGTCAAGAGGCGTAGAAGCCTGAAGAGTCAGTGGTTTATATCATCAAGTTATTGGGAGCTCCAACAACTCCCTGAACACGAATTCGCAATTTTCGACTTACAACAGGTACCTACTTTCACGCTAGGTGAACAGGGACTAATGGGGGCTAGGAAGTAAGTCCAAACAACTTCCACCGGCCCGGGAATCGAACCCGCGACATCTGCAACCTTGCGAGGCAAGAACGGATCCAAGAAAGGGTGACCTGACATTCCTACCTCCACCTGACATTGGGTCATGTTAGGTCAGGTACATGAGTCCCACTAACCCCCCAGAGCTCCATGGGAGTGGAAAATACCAATCTCTGCTGTAACACACAGCTTCAGTTATGCCTGTATCATATAGATGTTTAATTTTAAATATTTTTATTTAACCAAACTTTTAGATAAACTATTCTGGATAATTATAGTAAAGAAATGGAGTTTCTAACTTAATAATAACTGCATTTATGAACTCCGGTAATTTAGACTCGAGGAAAACATCTCCAGTATAAGTATAAATGAGCAAAGTTGTATCCTTTCAGCATTACGTTACATAACATATTAAAATATGGAGTGACAAAGCAGAAAGGTGTGGGTGATTAGAGAGATGGAGTGGAAATGAGTGTTGCCAAGTGCTCCTCAAGAGCTGATATTTAACTCCCTTCCATGCAGTCACACACACGTAGATGTGTCATACAATAAGACCCTCACTCCTCATGCTTGTTATCTTAATTCCCTTGTTGGGGGTGTGTGAGTGTGTTGGAATGTGTGTCTGGGGAAGTGATGTTGGGGGTTGTGTGTGGTTGTTGGGGGTTGTGTGGGTTGTAGGAGGTTGTTTGTGGTTATTGAAGGAGTGA